GTTTATACTGCAATGGAAAAGGAATATAGATATCGTTTAAAAGATTAATACAAGAGCTGAGAATACATAAGCTTAAAAATCCAATAAGTCAACATCTACAAAAACATTAAAGTACTAAAATGCTAGTAGCTTAACTTCAATAAAAAAACAAAGACTTGTTCTCTTCTAAATACTTTTATCTCTCGTCTCTTTAAAGTGCACATCTAAAAGGCCAAGTTCAGTCTGACTGGTCAGATAATTGGTTATAAATAATATAATACCAAGTCTAATTATATGTTAATGCTAAACTACCAAGGCTTTAAAGAAAATACTGCCTTGGGGATTTGAAGATTGAAAAACAAATACAGTATCCTACCATAAAACGGTACAGACCGACTTCTCTAGTCACCAAGATAAAGTTTATCTTCTTATTACATCAAACAACCACATACTGAGAATGAACTGGAGCGTTCCCTTCAAAGGCCGTCCAGGTGTTTTAATGCTATATTTGCTTCAAAATGACATGTTAGAAGCTCCAGGTTGCGGCACTATGACAATAACCTCAACAAACTCTCTACAGCATGGTGGCCATCTCCAGTCTTCAAGAGACGGCCCTGCTCTAGACTCTAGTTCTACAGAAACTGCATACAGAAATCATAGGCAACCTGCAATTCATTACTTCCTATAGCATGAAATGGACATTAGCTCTTTGGAAGGGAGAGCCAAACTTTCAAATTTATAAAATAATGTTCTGACACACGAGGGAAAAGAAGAAATAAACTTTCAAAGGAGTCTTTTTAAACAAATCAAAATATTAACAACCAAATGTGGTACATCTACAAATTGATGGAAGAAAAATCACAACACCTACAAGGTATTTTGCTCACCTTTGACTTTGTCACACTCAAGGACTTTCCCGAATGTCTGGAACAGCTGCTTAAGGTCTTCAGTGGTGCACATCCCACTCAGATTACCCACAAACACCTTTGTGGAGTGCAACGGCCTCCCCCTCGACTCCTCCACCACCAGATTTCGTCCTCGAAACTCTCTCCCATTGAGCTCCCGGATGGCTCGATCGGCCGCCCCATCGCCCTGCAGGTGAACAAAGGCGAACTGACGCAGCACACTGCAGCTGACGACCTGGCCGTACGGTTCAAATATGGCTGACAGCTCTTCCTGGGTGGTGTCCAGAGCCAGGTTTCCCACGAAAAGCTTCACTGTGTGGCTCTTGTCCATAGCGCTGCAGAGAAACAGAGGGATGACGTTACTGATGTTAGAAATTAAACGACTGGAATAAATTGCACAGTACCAGCTACATCCTACAGATGCAAGTCCTACATTTTCTGCTGCTTCTGCACTTGTTCTACACGTGCACTGTGATTTTTAGGAAAGCATTTCAAAGTTAAGATTCATAAAACCTCAGTTTTGGGTGTATGCAAGTGGACTAACAGTCTGAACATTAAAAAACAATGTTGAAGAGTTTCATTTCCCGCATGGACACTATTGTTTTTAATGTGGGTGTTGGTCTATTTGCTCCTTCAACATTTTGTACGTTGGTTTTGGTACACATCTTGTACAAACGGTGCATGATTTTCTACAGTCTGCTATATGAAAATGAGACGAGTGTCTCCAATAATAATAATAATAATAATACCACCTACCAGCAGGATGTTGCGAACAGTTCTGTTTTTATCAGAGAGTTTATATTTTGTTATTCAGACTGTCCCAAAAGGGGATCAAAGCCGTGATCAACTGAAGTCTATGTAATAATAAAATATAACAAAATCTACAACGAAAAGGAAATTATACGAGTTTTGAGCAGTTTATAATATTTTCCTCAATTATTCTGAATAAAAGACCTGAACAGGTAAATAAACTGATACGCATGGTTTAGGTAAAAGGGAATGAACTGGTTAGCTAACAAGCTACAAAATGGCAGGAGCTGACGACCAAAACATGGTTTTCTGTTTCCCTTTGCTTCTTCTCTTTTTCCATTAAGCCAAAAAATTTAAAAGGTAAATAAATTAATAACAAATTTAAGGATATACGACATCACAGAAAACATTTTTGGGATCAGCAGATATTTAGTCTGTTGCTAAACGCACTTCAATGAATGTCCTCACCACAAATGATAGCGTCCAAGATACTAAAGGTCACAGATTGTTGGAAGAAACACTATCCTAATCCAATGTCCTAATATTGCACAGCTCTATTCTTAGTAGTTATATTCTAAAGTAAAAGGTAATGCTGCTCTGTTTGTGAATAACAGCCGAGCTTAACATACACAGAAACACATGACAAATCGTTTTGTTCAATTGCAATTCAATTCAGAAGAGATGTGGCCGTTTGGGAAAATTATCACCCAACGTCTTCTTTTTCCCTTTCTTTTATTTTTTTTTCAAATACAGGAAAAATATTCAAAGTGGAGTACCTGCACTGTATTAAACTAAACTGAGAGACTGACTAACACTCTTAAATGAACATCTTTGTTGATCCAATCAGATTAACTTAAATGTTTAGCATAAATCTGAAAAATTAACATGTTTCAGAGTTATAGCAACGAATGATAAAACCAAATGGATGCAAGATTAATATTCAAATGTACAAAATAAAACCAGAACCAAAGACCATATACATACCTTTGAAAGTCCCACAGATACGGAGTCAAATTAGATACAACAAAGCTGGGAGATTTTCTTTTTGTTTTTAAAAGAGATCTGATTTGAAAGATTTAATGTAAGCAGGGTCTCTTTATTTAAAAGCAGACTGATCACCCCCACAGCTATGAGTCACACTCATCCACTGAAGACAGAAAGGCAAACAGAGTTCAGGAAGGCCAGTGTTTATTAAGTCTGCCTGGATTCACAGTAATAACCACTTTTATGCCACCAAATTGTGATTATGCTTTAAGCGTTGTCTTTAATGTACAAACCCCCAATTTATACCAAAACAGATGGCTAAACAGGCCCATTTTCTTCGTCTTCCTTCACTCCAAACAACCTTTTATGGTTGGCTGTAAATCAAAGGGCAAAGCGGAACATGAAACCAGAGGGGGACATTTCTATTTTCTGGTTTCGCCTCTAGTAAGTTACTACTTGACGAAGAAAAACACGTCTTCCTCCAAACGAAAGCGCATTTTCCCTCCGTGTGTGGACTGCATGAGTCAGGCAGAATGGCTGCTGCATTAACACTGGCTTCATTGTGGAATAACTGAGCGAACCTGGTTCCTGATGACGCAGCACGACGCTGAGTAAACACATTTTCACTGCTGCCGTCATTATTCGGCGCAGCAACAACAAAAAAAGAAAAAGGACTTGAAAAAGACGCATGTTGAGTTTGTTAGCTGGCTCAAACGCCTCGTTGTCGAGGTTTCCTTGTGAATGGAGAGCAGCAGGGATGCTGGTGGGTTTGTTTAAAGCTAAACGGGCGTTAAAAAAGGTCCACGCAAATAACGCGTTCCCGTACATTTAGCCCACCTCACACAACAACGAAAGCTGAATAAACGCCCAATATTAGTGAAGGCCTTCCGAAAATCTATCAACGTAGTCTAGAACAATCGCATTTTTCCGCACAGGAGCGCGTGCATTGCAGCACGAGAGAGCTTCCTGAGCGACAACACGGCCAGTTAAAAGTCTGCTCTCAAACCGGCATTTCCCATTAAAACACGCATTCTTTGACACCGTTTGGGTTTGATTACCGCCCGTGGGGGTTTGTGTGGGGATAATACAACAGAAAAATGCTATTAAAACTGAAGGAACTACCATCTTACCTTAGCGGTGCTGTGTTTCAAAATGGTAGCGTCTGCTTCCGTTTGAACGTCGGGCATACTGCTGGAGAAGCTGCAGAGGGGGGAGGGCTGCTGCACCCGGAGGATGCTGAATCCTCATGAAATAACCCAAGAACACACACACACACACACACACACACACACACAGAGAGAGAGCTCCTGGAAGCATGCTTAGTTAATTACTGCTACCGCAGTGGAAAAGGATGGCTCACAGCCGCCGTGCTGGGCTCAAAGGAGAGCAACAAGTGCGACAAGACTGATGGAAATTAGCAAAAATAGACTTTTGATCATGTGTAAAAGTCTGTTCTTTTTTCACAATGTAGTTCATGAAAAGTTTACAAATTAAATCAAACTTTGTCATTAAAAACACACTTCGTTTTTGAAGGAAGTAAAATTATACAGTAGCCAGTGATATACTAACACAAAGTAATGCAATGTGAAGTCGTTTGAAGCAGCATTCAGCTTCTATGCACCACAAATCTGGAACAAACTTCCAGAAAACTGCTAAACAGCTGAAACACTGCGCTCCTTTAAATCTAGAGTCAAACACTGCCTGGTTAGAGTTGCTTTTGAACCATAATAAATGATGAGTTTCATGATGGCATTTGTCAAACTGTAACATTTGTTAATGCTTTCTCAATTGTTGACTGCATGGTTTTTTTATTACTTTATTTTTCTTATGACATAAAAGCACTTTCAACTGTTTTGTTGCTGAAATGTGCTGTACAAATTAACTTTACTTATTTGCATTTGATTTTCTGATGTACTCAGTGGAACCAATAGCGTCCACAAGCCACCTAATGAGTAGCGATTCGCTGATATGAAAATTTGGGCCGCTTTTAATATCAGATACTGCTGTTATGTCCCAAAAAGTCAATAAAGTGTTTTCTGTGGTTTATGGGGCTGAATTAAAATGTACTTCACAAGTTCAGATTTTGATTTGTACAATGTCTTGAAAACAACGTATTCTTTTCCTTCCAATCCACAAAAATAGGTTGTAAACATGGAAAAAGGGTATGAATACTTTTTGGATGACACTGTAGCTCAGAGACAAATGGAGGGGAGGGAAAAAAAAAGAGAAAAGGGAGCGATTTAACATTTTGGAGGGCATTCAATAAGCCCATTCAGGCATCAGCAGAACAAGACAAATGTTCAATTCGTAAAAAAAAAAAAAAAAAATCAATGTCAAATTTGCTACATGTACACACACAGCCAACACATCACACACCATCATGTACTGATATGGATTTTTTTTAATCAAATAGAAATATATACCGACAGTAAGCAGGTTGTAGTTTGGTTATCATAATACATTCATTTGTCAAAGAAAATGTCACAAGACAAGAGAAATGGGAATGTCACTTGAGTTTTATGATCCTAACGTTGGCAGCAACAGCAGTAAAGAAACTCCGTACTGAATGCTGGAGGAAAAAAAAAACTGCTGAGAGCGCAGTCCCTAAAGGCCTTCCTCTCTCAATTAGCCCCTTTTGCCCTTTCAATCTGGAGTCTTCCTCCTGCTGCCCCTTTAATCTCCGTCTCCAGCCACTCACATCATCCTTGCGGATTTAAACTGAACCGATTAGGACGCAAAATGGGTTCGCTCCAAATGCAGTCGGTGTTCCAGATTCGAATCTCTTCAGCAAAACTCTCAAACGAAGCTTCGCAACTGAACATGGTACGAGGACAGGCATTTATCTAATGCTGGAGCTGAAGGAAGGTCTGCAGTAAAGTGTTTTTTTTCTATGCTTTAGAAGGTTTTCCTAATCCACCTTTTTACAAAACAATATAATGTTTGCCACCCCTGCTTTTGTGCGTTAGAAGTGATCATAGGACGGCATGGTTATTGCAATTTCAAGACTTTTATAAATTACTCTTCAAGTGCTCCGTCTTCTTTCAGGGCTCTGACCCGCTGGCAACAAAATGTCCGGTTTTGTGAAGAGTCAGAGGTGCGCCGGCGGCGTCTCTGGGTTTATCTTGCTCCGACCTTTCCCGGCAACCGGCCGGTCTCTCTCCTCCCACAGCGTGACCCCGTCGCACGCGCAAATCTTTTTGGGATTCTGGAAAAGGCCCGCTGATCTGGCGATGATCCCACAGGCCAGCCTGCGAACGTCACAGAAACGACAGAGAAAATGTCAGGAATGATAGATAAAAGATCAGATTAATGTGCGACAAACTGTCTAACGTAAATAATTACAAATCCGCGTTGCTCCGTTTGTTGAACAATGCTGCAGTCTTTTAAATCAGAGTTGGTTTTTGACACTAGAAAAGCTTCCAGGAACAATCCAAACTCAACCATGTCACCACTGTTTTTTTTTTTTAAACAGCATCGAGTTTATTCTGCTGTGCCAACGCTTCATCTGTCATGAACTGAAAGCTCCGAAAATTGTAAAATAAAAGAATAGGAGCACGGGCGAGAAGGAGAGGAAAGAAAAAGATCTTTATTTGCAGTATGTTTTTTTTTTTTCCATCAATCAAAACTGTGTGTGTTTATGTACTTAATGACAAAATTAAAAAAATAAAGTCAGTCTGTCAACCAAAGGAAAACGCCATAACTTTCATCCAGATAATAAAAATAGATGATGGCATCTCACCCTCTTTTAGTGAAAACCTAGACTTTTTAACAGGTGATGCGTTACAAAAAATAACCTCAAAAATATACCTAACTTTCTCCTGACAGATCTGGAAAAAATATGTTTTATCCACAGTGAGTCTTTCAAGTTTGTGATCAAAGATCATTTGAGGACAAGAACAAAATGATTAAAGTTGGTCTCCATCATCAGGTTAGTGAGTGTTCAGAAAATTCACTCTGGATAAACTTTGTGTATGTGCTTGAAGGGAAATCAATATTTTCTAAAACTGTTTTCAGATGTTAAAAAGCCGAGGTTTGGACCACAATCCTTTGGTTTTAAGAGGATCGTGCGGGACGCAACGCCAATCCAATCCCACACACCTCATCTGTACCTGGCACTTTGTTTTATTTTTTTATTTTAGTGGCTCCTGCTTCCTGACTTCCTCTCCCATCTCCTTCTCCTGTCCCTCCGCATCCATCTCTTCCTTCTCACTCCTTCTCCAGCTGCCATTATCCTGCCCCTCATTTCCAACTTCCTCAGCTGACACTGTCCTAATCTGCTACATAACAGAAACAATGACAAACTTCAGAATTCAACTTAAGAAAAGTGCTAAACACACAGGAAGTAATTTACTGACTTTATCTGAGCTGGTAAAAAAAAAAACAACTAATGAAACTAATGCAATGAAGAAATGTGAGCCTTTTTCTGGTCAGATAGCAGGGACTCATTTTAATTGATCAAGCAGATTCATAATTTGAACACAAATGGGCCAACATTGCTGATAGGCTCCCTTTTTGTAAAAGCACAAAACACACTATGTGCCAAGCTTGGGATGCTAGTCATGTATGTGATGTTTGCTAACCTGATGTCGTCCTGTTGGTTGGTGAGGTGGCGTCATGACCTTGGCCCCTCCACCACGCAAAATATCCGTTCATTTGGTGCATCTGGCTTCATCCTGCACCAACTTTTACCTCTCCGTAAGCCTTTCAGCACCACCCGTCTCTTTCTCCTCTCTTTTTGGCATGTTAGCTATTTTAACCCACTCCTCTTTCATCCTTTCTTTTCTGTTTCACATGCAAAACTATCAGACTGACCCAGTCTGGTGCTGCGCTTTATAGAGTTAAAAAAAACAACACATTCTAACCTCCGGACAGTCCAACCGCAAACAGACCGGTCCATCAGGAAACCTCCCGATCCTCCCCATGGTTAAACTAGCAGCCTTGTTCATGTCCACAACTCATAAATTTCAGCCACCAAAATGGGGACATAACATTGATGGAAAAAAATACTGTAGTTTTGAGGCTAATGTGGGTTAATCATAACTTATCTTGTCATAGCAATAGTTTTCCTAATATCCTGCGGCGTTAATCCTACTAGAGACTTTACTTTAGCAATATCCTTCAGACATAACAACTGTGATTTTGCTTTACTGCAATTTTGGCATCAAGTTAAACTCTAAATTGACCAGTAATAACTAGACTTGCCTGTTCTACGTTGTCGAATCCTCTTTAGCTTTTTAACTGCAAACTTGTATGACATCTTCTCAGAAAAAAATCTGTCCTTTTGTTAGCTTTCCATCAACAAAGTACAAATTAATTTAACCTTCTTTTTCTAGATGGGTTGAACGTTTCTTCAAACACCTGCCCCCATAGCACAGATAACGTCACCTCCACATTTCCTCTTTTATTTAGTCCTTCTGATTTCTGCCAACACACGGTTAGCATTAAACTGCAGATGCTAACAGCTTTCAGAAAAAAAAAAATTCCAGTTTCACCGAAAACAAAGTTTAATAAAGCACCTTTTAAGCATAGCAGGTGAGTAATGGTCCTTGTTTGGCTGATGAATTAGCAACAAATTAAAATATTTCTGCTACACCGTCCACCCCTTCAAACATTTTGCACATCCGTCTGATCTTCAAAAGTACAAACCTGTCACCAGAGTTTCCAGTCAGCTTGGAGAGAGAGTGACCGCCTCGACCCAGGTCGTCTTCCCCGGAGTCCACGACCAGAGATCGACCAATCACGTCCCACACCTGCAGGACAAAGGCGGAGCTGATTAGCTCCGTGTGCTGCCGTTGTCAAATAAGTCATGTTTGCTCAGGTGGTACCTTCAGCTGTCTGTCCTCAAATCTAAATGAAGCTCGGCCATCTGGTCCAGCCACTACGTTCCCCAAATCACCTACGTGCTGCAAAAACACGCAGAGCGTGTAAGAAGATTTAAACAGATGACGCAGTGGAAATCATCTGTAGAAATATAACACAGTGCTGCGAGAAAGAGAAGACGTATAAAAAGCTGTGGGTCTGGTAGAAAATAGGCCAGGGTGTGGTTTGTGAAATAGAATAAAAAAATGTATCAAATTAGTAGGGCCAGGTTGTTTTAGATTAGCTTCACTTCTTAATAAATGAAACCCTCATTTGAAAACGTGACGCATTTAGTCAGGCCATCATTGTCTGATATTAAAGTTTGTTAGTTAAGCATTTATTTGTGACGAAAATGCACAAACAAACTTTTTTTCCACAGCTTTATGCATACTAAAGACAAAGTGTTAAAGCAAAATGAAGCCAGAATCCTCCTCACTTTGCTGAATTCACGATCCGCAACAGAACAGCAGATTGAGGAAAAACTACGCCGCATCTGCTGTGTTCCAGGAAGGATCCAATCTATACCTGGGAACTTTTTCCTATTATTGTTTCAAAACTTCATTTCAACCCGCTCTGCCCCAGGCGGACATGAAGCACGTCACCGAATCCACTTATAAAACGGAAGGATTACACAGCGAGTCCATTTAGAAAGCTTGGGAGGAAAAATAAATAAATATATAAAACAGAAAAAAAAAGTTGACAAATTGATTGTACCCGTTCAGAGTCCCCCGGACCTCCATGCTGTTTCCCAAATGGGTTGAAGTGCTCTCCACAGCTGCAGAGGAAGGACAAACTCAGTTTAATCGGATGAGGAGAATAAAATGGCTTATATGCCTTTTAAACCCCAAGTGGAGGCTTTCGCTATTTTGTTTTGAGGAAGGAAAAAAAATGAATAAAATTGGATATGTCACCAATCTTTTTATTCATTTCCACAGCTTTTTTTTTTTTTGTAAAACAAATAACCTGGGACAAACTGCAGAAACCAGCGATTACCTCCGCATAAGACGTCACTGCATGGATCTGACGTTTAAGGTGATGGAGATGCATTATGCCGCAGAATAACTTCGGAAAACGCCTCAAAGTTTTGTTTGCAACTCAAATCTCAACTTGGCGCAGAGCCGTGAAGCTTCGCCTGGAGGCTGGGTTTTTAATTTTCTTGATCAAATTTTATTTGCTTTCGCCCGACAGGTCGTCAGTGAGCCGGCGCTCCCACCTGAGGCAGTCCTGTGTGAGGTCCCCCAGCGTGTGGACGTGCAGGCCGTGGGGCCCGGGCTCCAGGCCGTCGATGGTCCCGTCGATCAGGCAGTCTTCTTCGGACAGCTGCAAGAAACGCACCACGCCCTGAATCGATCCGGCTCCAGACAGCATGGCCACGGCTGCACCCAGATCTGTTAAACACACTTCGTTAAGAGTTGTCCTGGCTGATTTACTTAGATTTTTTTTTCCTCTTTTAAACGGAGCCGCTTGAGTTTAAATATTTCACATTTCTATAATAGCTCAGACTTGCAGTGGAAAACTTGTTTTTCCAAATGTTTTGCTGTCATCAGTGAATCATCATTAGAAGCCATTTGTCTACAAACTTCTTGAGCCGTCCAGTCAAAGATGACGAAAAATCAGATTGCAATTAGCCCTCGCCTCACCAATATTTGACCTACTTTTATCATTATTACTGTTACAAAAATACTGTGGAAAATAACTTGATTCAAATACAGGCTACATTCAGTTTTTAAGCAAGACTTGTCTTAGAAATGCCACTGAGACCGTTGACATCATGTCGGCATGTGACAGAGCAGATTTTTCTCTGCAGTTCAAGAAGCAAAATCAATTCCACATGCACCCAGGAGAGGAGGGTACTAATACTTCCTATTGGATCTAAAGATGGACTAAAAGTAAAAGGAGCTGATAAGATGTGGGTACAATAAAACACCAACAATGAAAGAGCTGTGGTGAGATCAAAGTCCAGACCTTGTCGCTGCTGCAAGTCTTTACATTTTTCTGGTGTTGGGCTTTTGAAGCTACGTAATCCTGAACTGCTGCTGCTTCGTCGACACCGATGTTACTGCATGTTTATCGTGCATCACTAGTTTGGACAATGGAATTATTTTTGTTATACATATTCTCTCATCCTGTATGCTCGCAGGATGAGAGAATACACAGCTGACAATAACTTGGGTGGATATTGACACACTGGCGCTTCAGTTAAATTATTTAGCTGGAGCAACTCTCTGGACATTTGTGGCAGTTTTTCTTCTTTTTTTTCCCCCCAGAAGCATCAGATTTTTATTCTTTTATTTTTTTCCTCCTCTGTGGTTCTCACCTTGCTCTGATCCACCGATGCCCTTCAGCACGGCCCGGCGCCCCGTACTCTCAATGAGAGACTGAACCTCTGTGCTGGTGAGCGCAGCCTCAACCAGGACCAGCTCTTTACTGAGATCGATGCTGACTGACTTTACTCCTGCAAAGCACACAACACTCCATCAAAAAGCTAGAACAACTGCTGTATATTTGCAATATGTTTAGTCATTTAAATTGAATAACTGTTGTCATTTAATACCGTTTATATACACTGGACAGTGTGTCTTACAGCTAAAACTTGTCAAGGAACGCAGTAACAATTTTGGCTGCAATTTGCTGCAATCCAGCTGCTTAAATGGTGATTGTGCTAATGGTTAGTTAGCTCGTTTTTTTTTTTTTTTTAAGAAAGCTTTTTAGTTGCTGTTGAGGGCTGTAGTTTTAAGAATTTTCAATAATAACATCGAAATATTCAAATTATTTATAATTTTCTCCTCCATTCCAGCTAACGACATGGTGATACTTAAGAGGCAAAGCTTTGGTCTCACAAAATCTTGTTTAACTTGCTAAAACATTTGTGGAATTTATTAAACTATGTTAATTGTCTGCAAGTTAATGTTTTCTAAGTACATATTTACTGATAAATAAATGAAGCATGCCTAATCAGCTCATGCAATGTGAAATTTTAATGAAACATCTGAAATAATATATGTCTTCAACAATAAGTCAATTAGAAAATAAAGGCTCAATGTTGTTTTTGCTTTCAGGAAGAATATTATCCGTCACTGATTATAACAGTGAATATGTGTTACACATAAACAAAGATGAACGTTTGGCTCAGTAGATCGATTGTTAAATGCCGATTAGCTGACATTTATTTTAACCACCACAGAATAAAAACATAAAATCAATCAAATATAGTAGAAAGGTTGAATTTTTTTTCTTTTGGTAATTTGGGGTCACCAATTTTCACTTTTAATGTAAATTCAACAACAAATTATCCCAGATTTTTTTTTTTTTTTTTTTTTTTTTTTTTTGGGTTATATTTTTTTTTGTCGGCATGCAAAAAAAATTATAACAC